CCTGTCCTTGTGGAAATTACGAGGTTCCTTTCTTGGGACCACTGACGTTTCGGACGCTCGTCCTCACTCTCTGATGGAGAAGAAACACAAACCTCCATAGTATCCCTAGTGAGTTGCACGCAACGGCTAGGGTTACCGACTGTGGTGGTCCAACGAGGTCTCTCGATACCGTATGCGGTATCTACTGTGCTGGTACCGGATGCGGTACATGGCACACTCACGGTTAGCTGACTTCTCACAGGAGGCCCAGATACGGTGCCCACTGTGAGGGTCCTTGCTGAGGGGTCGAGGGATTTACTGACTTCCGCATGGGTGAGGTCCATCCGTTTCCTCGCCGTATGGGTTACCTGTCGGACAAAGTAGATGTTAGCGTCCACCCAGTTAGTGTCAAGGAGACTTTTCCCAACAAACACCTCAGCTTCCTTGGCTGCTGCTCTGAGCCACTTGGTATCTTCTCTCCTCCGGGCAATGCCAACTTGCATCCTGATGCAGCTCTTCAGTTCACCCCCTGCTACTCCCGCCGCATAGAGTTTCCTCATTAGCTGTCTTGCATCAAGGAGGTTCCGGGATTTTGTAGCAATCTCGATGTCTAGACAAGTATGCTTGTCCAGCGTCGCCCGGCTAGTCTGCAGGCCGGCCATGTCCTGAAAATCAGAAAGAGCAAAGACATTATTTACAGTTTGGGGACACCTTTGCATTCTAGACACTTATATTTGTCGATGTCCAGAGCATCCGATGGAGCTATATTGATGCACGATCCATGATACCAGGTGTCGCAATAATCACACTGTATCATGAATCGCCCATCCCAAGGTTGCTTGCATACACAGTAGGTGTCGGTTTGTGTGTTGTTGGGAGTTGCTGAGTTAGTGTCAGGGGCTTTGTAGTTTATGATCCATGCCGGAAGTTGCCTGTCGCGGCAGAGCTTCATCCTGTCATGGTTCACCACCATGACCTTGTTTCTCATCTGCACTCTGAAGAGATAGGGTGTTATTCTCTCCCTAATGACTCCTGGGCCTTTCCAGGGGGCACTCAACTTTTTGCACTTCCCCTTAATGGCCGTATTATCCAAGACATACACATGATCCCCTTCCTGGTAAGGTTTCTCCAGGATCCTCAGGTCATAGTTTCTTTTCATTTTTCGTTGATTCTCCTTGAGGTTCTCACGGGCAATCTGATGACTGTCTTGGAGTGACTTGACCAACTTCGGGATGTACTGACTGACACCCAGATCCTCCTCTTGTGTAGCGGATGAAAACATCAGGTCTGCTGGCATGTTTATCTCCCGTCCCAACATCATCCGATTGGGAGTCTGGCCGGTGCTCCTGTTCACCGTGGCTCTTATAGCTCCGGCTAACTGAGGTATGAAGACATCCCAATCATCCTGTCTCTTTCCGACAAAGCAGCGGGTGGCATCCATGATTGTACGGTTGTACCGCTCTACCTGGCCATTCGCAGAAGGCCTGTAGGGTGTTGTCCGCTTTTTGTGGATTTGTAGAACACGGCAGAGAGCAGAAAACAGTTCGCTCTCGAAGTTTCGACCTTGATCCGAAAATATGTTCAATGGGACACCGAACCTGGAAAAGAATGAGTTGACCGCTGCCTGGGCTGTCACTTCTGCTGTCTGTGATGGTAGAGGTACAATCTCCACCCATTTGGTGAACTGGTCAACCATCACCAGTATATTCTCATTCCCTTGTTTGGTCTTGGGTAGTGGGCCCATAAAGTCGATGTGAACGCGTTCCATGGGGACACCTGCGTGGTACTCAATGAGCCTGTGCCTGTTCTTACGGTTTGGTTTCTTGTTCCGGTTACATGTCTCACACGACATGACATACCTTTCGACTTCTGTTCCCATACCATACCAGTAGAACTTCTCCTTCACCCGAAATTTTGTGCGTTTGATTCCTTGATGGCCTGCAGATGGTAAATCATGGTGTAACCGTAGGGCAGCCTCTCTTAAACCTTGTGGCAGGATTAAGTATTCCTGGTCGCTGTCCTTAGCCTTAATGAACAGAATGCTGTTCCGCAAGTGGAGACGATCTCTGTTAATCCAGTAGAACTTGGCTGCAGCACTGGATGAAAACAGCTTTCCCTCTGAAGGCTGAATTTTCTCCTTTAGCCAGCTGATAGCTATGCCCAGATCTGGATCCTTGATTTGTTCCTGTTCGATTTCCTCTGCTGACAGACCCCAGACACTTTCCTTCTTGTCCCCTAACTCTACTACCATGATCTTGGTTCCCTCCTCTGAGAGGATATTCACTTGTGAGGTTATTGTACCATCAGGAAATCTGTGTATCACTGTTTCTAGTGTGGGTGTTTCTGGTTGCATTTTGCCTCCAGGGTCCCAGACGCGGGACGAGGCTAAGTCACTACTCTCCTCCGCTGCGAAGAGAGTGGCCCGTTGGCAGCGGGAGATAGGCACCACATCGTCTACCTCCTCGATGAAGCTTGACCACTGCGTGTGGGCCTTAGTGCAGTATGAGCACCCTCCACATGGTAGATCCTTCAATTCTACTCCGTGGATGAAGTGACTATCTGATGTATCTCCCGTTCGCGAGAGTGCATCAGCATTGCTATGAAGGCTCCCTCGACGATGCTTAAGAGTCATATTGTACTGGCTCAGTTCCTCAATCCACCGGGCCAGTTGACCTTGGGGTTCCTTGAACCTTAACAGCCACGTTAGGCTGTTGTGGTCCGTGCGAACAGTGAACGGTTTCCCCAGAAGGTGGTGTCGAAATTGGCGTGTGAGCCTCACAATGGCTAGTAGTTCTTGACGAGTTGTGCAGTAGCGTCTCTGCTCAGGAGTTAAGGCGTAACTCGCATAGGCGACAACTCTTTCCTGGCCGTCCTGGACTTGTATCAACTCTCCACCGATGGCTATGTTCGACGCATCAGTGTCCAGGATAAATTCATCGTGCGCGTTAGGCAGAGCAAGGACAGGCGGTTGCATCATCTTGTCTCTTAGGGCATTGAAGGCTGTCTCCTGCTCCTCCTCCCAACGGAATTCTTTGCGTCCTGTGATGGCATACAATGGAACCGCGAGTTCCGCAAAGTCGGGGATGAAGGCTCTGTGGTAATTCACAAAGCCTAGGAATCGCTCGACATCCTTGGTGTTTTGAGGTGTTGACCAGGACTTCACTGCACGTATATCTGCGTCTGAGATTGCAATGGAGTTTTCGTTGACAATTCTACCCAAGAATTCCACCTTTTTTGAACAGAAGGCACACTTTTTGGGTTTGAGTTTAAGTCCGTGCTGTCTGAAGCGCTCTAGTGCCTCAGCCAGATTGTGGAGATGCTCCTGGAAGTTACTTCCTAGGATGACAATATCATCTAGGAATGCCAAGGCAGTTTTCCAATTCAAGCCTCTGAGAATTAGGATGATTACTCTGGAAAACGTGGAAGGACTATTGCAGAGGCCAAATGGCATTTTGGTGAACTCAAATAAGCCATATTTGGTGATGAATGCCGTCTTTTTGCGATCCTCTTTACGCAAGTTGACCTGCCAGTATCCCCAGATAGCATCAAGTTTCGAGAACCAACGGTTTCCCGATAATGTGTCAACACAGTCTTCGACCAGTGGGAGAGGGTAAACGTCCTTAACAGTTATGTTATTGAGGGCCCTATAGTCAACGCAAAAGCGGACTGTACCGTCCCTCTTTCTAACTAAAACGGGCGGAGATGCCCATTCAGAGACCGAAGGTTGGATGACTCCAGCCTCTAGCATTTTGTCCAGCTCTTTCTCCTCCTCTCCAGCAAACTGAACTGGCGTTCGTCTCATTCGTTGCTTGATTGGTGGTGCGTCTCTAGTGTCAACGCCATGTTCAATCTCTTTGACTGTCCCGATGTCATAGATATGAGATGCAAAGACATCAGAAAAGTTACAGATGACATCTCTCAGCTGACTGAACTGTTCTTCTGTAAGTTCTCCCTTGGACCTTTATAGCATGTCTCTCAGGTGTGCAGGTACATTCGCACATGGGTCATCAGCTAGCCCGAATGCGGAGCTAGTATTTCGAATGTGTTTATCACCTACCGGTGCATGTGCGGCACTGGTTCCTTGTGAGTCTGTTTCTGACCCAGAAGCGGTGTCATGAATTTCAGGAAGTGCATCAGCTTCCACAGCTTCTCCTACAGCCTGCCCAGGCTTCAACAACACAAAGCTGTTTGTGACGTTGGCAACATATAATGTTGGCCTGGCTTTACTGCGGTGTGCAGATCTTGGAATTACAAGATGCGAGTTTGGGAGTGGTTCTAGGACATAGTCCGGCATTGTCCCTTCTAGCTGACCAACAACCGCAGTGACAGAGTTTGGAGGGATAACTCTCCTCTTTCCTACCATCACTCGGGACACCCTAGTTTCCCTGGGTTTGTTCCCAAACTGAATAGACACTGTGTCCTCTCCCAGCATCATGAGATTTGTCCCCATATCCATTTTCATAGTTCGGCTCCTGAAGAAATCAACCCCTAGCAACATATCATCCTCAATTGGGGCGACATGTATTATTTCATGATGTACCGTGGAGCCAATCCTGAAAGACACTGGGCCTATCTTGTACCCATTCATTGTTAAGTCTCTCCCAGCCATGTGAAATTTCATGTAAGAGAGTACCTTTGGTTTAGGATGTAATTTATTGAAAATACGATCCGACAGTATGGTAGATTCCGCCGCGGTGTCTATTACTGCCTCGATATGTTGGTCCTCTATTTGTACTGGTACATGGTAAACTGCACTTGACTGGATTTGGTTGACAGTGACGATGTCTTCTATTGTCTCTGTAGGTGTCTTTGCAAATTCCGTATTGGCAGGGCATTCATCCCCTGCCATCTCGAAAATCGCATTTTCCCTTTCTTCGCTGATAATATCCCGATGCGGATATTCTGCCTCTGTTGTGTCCCGATGTGGTTTTTCTGTACTTTGATGTGCATGGCTAACAACCTGGTGCGGTTGGTTATTTACTGTGGCAATAGGCGTGTAGCATAGTGGGGGGCTCAACAGATGCGGTGAGTCCTCCTGGCCGTAATCTACTGGGGCGAAAACCCGGCCTCCGTCTTCGTCCCTTGAGATTTTGGCTGCTCATCTTCGAAACGAAGAACCTTGGTTTCTTTTCCCTTCAGGTCCTTTGTTGGGCACTCTCTTGCAAAATGCTTCTCGTCGCCACACAAATAGCAGGCTCGCCGACTCGGAGATGTGCTCCTCTGTCGTCCCAGCTCCCGGAACATTCCCTTGATCTCTGTAGTAAGATCAGAGATAGAAGCAGCTACCTGCTTGGTCAAAGCTGATGTAGCCACTGTCATCTGTGACATCTGCTTAGCCAACCCTGCTATCCCTACATCCTGTGTAGGCTCTGGTGTTTTGTTGCCACTTTCTCTTTTAAGGATAGGCTGGGGAGTCGACTGCTTCCTTCTCACTTCCATTTTCCTTATCCTTAGATCTTCTTCTTCCTCTTCCTCGGAACCAGGGTCGTTTTCGCCGAACTCATACGATGCGCATTTATATGCCCTAACTGGGGGTGCTGACTTGGTTAGTTTTTGTGGAGCATGTCTGGCACCTGCTGATTTGCTGATGCAGCGGAACCACTCCATCTTGTCCATTGCCTCGTCAAATGTTTTAGGTTGCTGTATGCAGGCATGCTGACCAGCTTCCTTGTCCAGGCTTCCCATGCAAAACCTGATGATCGCATTCTTCCTGATCCACGCCTCGGGCAAATCCTTGTAGGCCTTGGCTGCCAAGGAGAGGATTTTATCGGCCCAGTCTCTTAGGGTCTCGCCTTCTTCTTGGCATTCCAATTGGAAGCGGGCCTGTAGGGTCTCGGGAAGTTCTTCCCTCTTAAACCTCTTGTTAAATTCTGAGATGAGGTGGCTGTAGGACAAGTCTTCGTTCATCTTACTAAGAAGGACGTAGAAGTCTGCAGCTTTCCCTGTCAATCCCCAAATCAACATATCTTTTTTCTGACTTTCTGTCCAACCAACAGACATTGCATAGGTCTCAAACTTCCGCTTGTAAAGAGACCAATCGAGTTTGCCATCAAACTCCAGCGTCTTGGGGAGCACTCGTGGTTTCCGGTCCTCTGGCGTCACACCTCGAGTCTGGGGTGCGCGAGTAGCCGACTGCGGGATGGCCACTGGACGGTGCCTATACGGAAGTGGTGGTACCATATCTGGTGACGGATATGGAGGTTGACCATACCATTGCTGTGGTGGGTCAGGGCGGTATGCCACCGACTGCGGTGGTAGGTACGGGTAAGCACCTACATCTGGGTTTTGGGGTGGAATTGGTGGGTATGCATACATGTACGTGGGCGGTGGTGTGTATCTGTCCGAGTAAAAAGACCATGGGGGCATGTCTTGCGACACCGGCCTACCAGGTTTGTGTGATACATAACCCTGAGGTCTGCATCGTGCTTGAGCAGTGTCAATGTGTTGCGACATGTTCTGCACGAAGCTGGCCTCTGCGGAATGTGGAGGGGGTTCTGATTGCGTTGGTTGACTGGACGACCTGATGCGGTTGTCCTGTTGCGCGGGTGCCACCGGCTCCCTAGTCGGACTTTGATCCGACTGCATGGTCGCCTGCTGACAGGTGGGGTCTGTGGTGAAGTCGATTGACCTATACAACCTCTCCGAGGGTTTTAACCTGGGTATGTGTTCAATGTTATCGGGAGTTATTGGAAAATTCTCCTCCCTGTATTGGACGATATTTCTAGCAATCCTAGACCCTATCCCGTGAAGTTGTTGCAACTCAACCTCCCCTGCAAAATTTATCGGAACTAATCTGGACATGAGGAACAAAGAAATCTTCCCTCAAAAAATGTACGGCGTACAAAGTTGCCCTCGGTAGCACGACAAATTTTATGTACACAGCTCCAGAATGCTCCAGTCATGAACAAAAAATTATCTCAAACAAAAATACAACAGATGCGTTGTTTTCACCAAGAAATAAATTGGAAAAAATTATCGCTAAACAAAATTACAATGGATGCCTCGCTTAAATACCACAGAAATACAACGGATGCGTTGTCTTCACTAACAAAAAAAACAGACTGCATGCGTTCTAGGCATAAACGCTTTCTTGTTGTTGCTTTTTATTTTGTTGTGTTTAAATTATTTATTAACACAAGCAACATGCATTGGCAAAAACAGGAATCACAAAAAAGGAAAGTAATTGAAGAATATTACTTATATAATACCTGTTACGGTATTAAGTTACCCAAGATACCACAGACGTGCTTTATTTGTTTAGTGCAATAGACTGCAGAGAACACACACATGTATCTCTAACCACAGTCCAACAGCATATAGTCCACAAAATCAGCCCCGTCTATTTCTATATTCCGATGCGAAATAAAAATAGACAGTAGTAAACATGGTACTTTATGTTGAAAACTGTAAAGAGGGGCGTACCACTAGCTGAGTGTATGCTATAGTGACCCAAGTTCTCAAAATTGTAAACGGCCAAAGTAACCAAAGTGAGGGGCTAACCAGTTGTTAATTTATTTTGTGGACGGTCATGGCACTGACCATGCTGACAGTACTATTATCTTAAACCACTTTCCCTTCCGCTTATTTTTCCCCCTTTTATTTTTTTTATTTTTTATTTTTCTCTTTGTATTTGTTTAATTCCTTATCAAACCCAATACTGAGATCAAGAGATGGCCCAACAATAAGCTTTAAATGTACTGAAGGCTACTTGCTGTGCCGCTCCGAACTATCCTCGTCGCCAATGTAGTGCTTCACGGTGTATCTACACGTGCGTCAGGAGCGTGAACCGAGACGGTGCTTGCCGCGGCCGACTTCACTTCTTACGGGTCCGAATTCCTCGTAAAAAGACAAGCCCGCAGGATTACTGTTAATCCCAGGCTTGAGTCCGATCCGGCAACTTGGGTCTCGAACGCAAAGGAGACGGATTGGTGCAGAAACACGAGAACACTAGAAGTTCTAGAAGAGTTTTGGTAACAACCATGTGACAATGTTTCGACTGATCTAAGATGGCGGCGCCCACGAAAAACGATAAATTGATCATCGGTCACGTGACCGCATAATTCTGATACATTGATTAGTACGGGTGAAATATCAACTGGCACTACAACCATAAGATTGAATTGTGTGAGAAATTTGGTATTTCAAAACTTTGTCTAGATAGACATGAAATCTCCAAGATATGTGAAAAATTGAGTAAGCCTGACTCTGTTAAAACAATTCAAGGTGATGGTAACTGTTTCTACAGAGCTATTAGTTATGCTATATCAGGGACTGAGGACAATCACATGCAACTTAGATTAGCAATTGTTCATCACTTGCTGGAAAATGCTGCTCAGTTTAGGTGCTGTTTACGCGAAGGTTACAGAACAGTGCAAGAGTATGTCACAAATGCAAGATTGTGTAATAATGGTACATGGGCTACTGAGGTGGAAATCATTGTAACAGCACATATTTTGGATGTCGATATTTACACGTATGATGATGGTAATAGATGTAAGTGGTATTTGTTTTCAAGTAGTTATGCATGTCCAGGCCGTGCTTCTGATAGTTCTGTGAAATCAGGAATTTATTTGCACCACAAGAATCAAATACATTATGATTTAGTGACAAGTGTATGTGAGTTGAGAAGGGAGCTACCGATAGACAGCACTCAGAAACATGATGAAAATACATCCAAAACACGAGTATTGAAAAGATCAAAGAGACGCAAACGTGTTAATGTAAAGAAGAGGCAGAAAACTAACCGAGAAAAACAAAGTGAAAGATATCAGAGAAAGAAAGATAAAGAAAATAAAAACGATGCTGTAAATGTCAGAGAGAAAAAAAAAAGGGCAAAGAAAGAAAAATATCGTAGTTGTGTGCAATACAGACAAGGTGCTATTGAGTATGGCAAAAAGAGATACAAAGAAAATGTGAAAACCATTACTGGGGTTGTAAGGAAAAGATACCATGAGAATGCTGATTATAGGAATAACAAAATTGGCAATGCAAAAATGAAGTATGACAGAGATGAAGAACATAGGCAAAGAAAAAAGCAATGTACAATGACGAACTATCATAAAAATATAGAGTATAGACAACAAAAGATTAATAATGCCAAAACAAGATATGAGGATGCAGTACATAGGCAAGAAAAGATCAATTTTGCTAAAGCTAAATATCATGAGAATGAAGAACATAGGCAAAGAAAGGTGAAGAGTGCCAAAACGAAGTATCATGAGAATGAAGGACATAGGCAAAGAAAGGTGAAGAGTGCCAAAACGAAGTATCATGAGAATGAAGGACATAGGCAAAGAAAGATGACTAGTGCCAAAAAATACACTAAGAAAAAATACCATAGTGATTTATCATATAGAAATGCTCTTGTTAAATCGATTAAAAAAAAGTATTCTTTGAACAAATTTTATAGGATGAAATTGATAAATTTTCAGAAAGCAAAGTACCACACGGATAGGTGTTATCGTCAAAATATGAAGCAAAGAAATGATGAACGAGAAAAAAGAAAGAGAGCAAGTCAATGTATTATGAACAATGTAATGAGAAATTGGAGGCAAGATGTATCATCCGGACCTGAATATATATGTGCAGTTTGCCATAAACTCCTTTTTCGAAAACAAGTTGTTAAGTGTTATCAAAAGAAGTACAAATGTGTCTATTGCATATGTGGTAAATTTGTGCATACATGTGGAGACAATGGAAATTGTGGTGATAAGTGTAAAGTGTCAGAATCAAGTAGATCATGTTTGTGGATTTGCTATACATGTCACAGGAAATTGCTTCAGAACAGGATCCCAGCAGAAGCTTGTGCAAACAATTTGGCATTGGAAGATATCCCAGAGGAATTGAGTTGTTTAAATATATTGGAGGAGCATCTGATTGCAATCAATGTGGCATTTATGAAGATGATGGCTTTACCCAGAGGTGGTCAGAATGGAGTGCATGGCCCAGTTGTATGTGTACCATCAAATATTTCAGAAACAGTAACAGCATTACCTAGATGTGGAAATAATAATCAGTTAATCAAAGTTAAGTTGAAGAGAAAGTTGTCATTCAAAGGATATTACCAGTATCAATATGTCAGCAGAGAACATGTTGAGCGTGCACTACAGTATCTAAAGGAGCATAATGTATGGTATAATGACATTGAGATGAACTGTGAGTGGGACAATCCCTTGGAAGATGAAAGTGAAAAGCAAGAAGAGCATGAATCCGATAACTCGAGTGAGAATGATGAAGACACAGATGTAGACACAGATGTAGACACAGATGAAGAACGGTTGACGGGTATTACTTACGATACATGTTTGCAGCCAGTGAACATTGCTCAAGATGCCCTGGATCAAGATTTTGATGGTGTCATGTGTGTTGCTCCTTGTGAACGAAATAGCCCAGTCAGAGTATTGATGGAGAAAGCTAATGAGGCCAAATGTTTCCCAGCATTATTTCCAACAGGCACTTCTACTTTCAGTGATGATCGTGATGTGAAATTGAGTTTTTCTAGATATTTTCATAACAGGTTAATGAATGCAGATAATAGATTTGCAAATAGTACTCAGTATATCTTCTATGCTCAGTACCTGTCAGAAATACAACAAGTAATGTCAAAAGTATCAATTGCAATGCGTCAGAGTTCAGGCAGTATACACAGTGCTGAAAGGGTAAATGCTAGCATGATAAATGATAGAGATCAACTGAGAGATATTTTACAGTCTGATAGTGGTTATAGGTTCTTGAAACCAATTAGAGGTACACCCCCATACTGGCAAGCAGCTCAGAAAGATGTCATGGCTATGATTAGACAGCTTGGAATACCAACATGGTTTTGTTCATTTTCTGCAGCTGATATGAGATGGCCTGAAGTCATAAACACAATATTGAGGCAACAGGGTGATTCTAGAGATGTTGAAGATTTGGATTGGAATGAGAAGTGTAAAATATTGCGAAGTAATCCTGTGACTGCAGCTAGAATGTTCGACAAGAGATTCCATTCATTCTTGAAAGATGTAATTATGTGCAGAGCTCAGCCTATTGGCAAAGTCAAGGATTATTTCTATAGAGTTGAATTTCAGCAAAGAGGAAGTCCACATACCCACTGTCTATTTTGGATTGAGAATGCTCCGAGATTGGGATATGATAGCGATGTAGAAGTTATTCAATTCATTGATTCATATATCAGTTGCAAATTGCCATCTAAGGAGGAGGACCCAGAACTGAATGACATAGTGAGTCACGTGCAGCTACATAGCAGAAAACATTCCAAGTCATGTAAAAAGAAGGGAACTGAGTGTAGATTTAATTTTCCAAGACCACCATCTAATAGAACCTTCATTACTGAGCCAGATCCAATGGATAATGATGATGACCAATATGATCATCATACTGATACAATGACTGATGATGATGATGATGATGATGATCATGATGGGGATGATGATGATGGTGATGATGATATTAA